AGGGTGGCCTTTTTGTTGTTGTTGTTTGGATTGGATTGCTCTTTTTACTGTGTGAAACTATCTAACTTTAATGAAATTATATTAAGACTGGCCAAACCGACCAATCTAAAATATATTTGAATAAAACAGAACAGACTTTATCCAGAACTTTGGGGTGCAAATCAGTCACCCACCATCACTTTAGCTGCTACTCAGGTTTTTCAGATGTCCAATGTCAGTGGGATTTTCATTGTGGTGTTTTTTTCTCAGATGGAAAACATACTTAAAGTCATATCAATCATTTTGTCAGTATTTTATACAAAATGTCAATGCTAGCAGAGACCACTGAATTTAATTAACTACTAATGATTAATTTATTATGTTCATGTGAACAAAACCAATACTGGAAATGGGGATTTTAAATAAGAAATGAACTTTAAGCTCTGTTGCCTTGGAGACACAAACCATGGATCCCGCATTGCAGGTATTAAAATAAAAACCTGAACAACTGGAAGAAGCAGTTATGGAAAAGATTTGGGCCACCGGGGGGAAAAAAAAACCCAATTCTGACTTCGTTTTTCCTTCGATGGCCCTACTCCTTTTCCATAAGCAGTTGCAGTTTTGGCTCCTGTTAACTTTTGTCAAACCAGGATCAGGCTACATTTATCCATGATTCCTATTAATGACCTCTTGCAGAAAAACATGTACTTATGGACCTTTTTATGGACTTTTTTTATCGACTAGCACTAGTTCTGAAATTACTCAAAAGAAGCTGTTTTAACCTAACTCATCTGAATTGCCATTAATCGTGGGTCTGTGATTTGTTTTTAGTGGACAGAGTGCTGCAGCAGCCAGTAGGGGTGCTCAATTCAGCCAGCTGATCTTGCACACCCTTGAACGTCCAAAAAAGGTCTGCCAGAGCGGCTGGTGAGCAGAGCTCCAGCTAAGAATAACCTGTATTTTCTGGGGGGGATAGAGTTACCTTGCAGCCTTCCTGCTCTCTGCACTGGCCTATACCCATGTGAGCCCCCAGAAACACTGGGTGAGATATTGTGCATTTCCCCTCACCCTGCCCAGCCCTGTGCTTAGCTTGGCTGATTCTTCCCCTGTGTCGCTTTACTTTGCCCCACTGTCCCCAGACCCCCCTTTTTAATGCTGCCTCACAGGCAGCTCCAAATTCTCCAACATATGTAAGCTTTCAATTCATGCTTAATTTTTCATTTTCCACTTTTTAAAACCTTGGACAAGTTCCACCTGTGGATGTTATGGGTAAGAAGACAAGGCTGTGACGGTCCAAGTGACAATGGAATAATTTACTACCTCGGACGCTTTTTTTTTCCTGAGAAAGTGGATTCAAACTGGATTTACTGGAGCCGTCACCAGTTAATTCTTCATGAGGAGGCTTTGTCTCCAATTTAAAGTATCCTACCTGAGATAGTCTACACGTCACAATGGCTGAAGGTAGGGTTGTTACACCTGGATCTTCAAGCACAACTGTTCAAATAAAACCTTTACTACAGCGCAAAAATCCACAGTAATAAATTCTGCATAACAAATAAACGGCAGTGTTTTGATAAGTTGTGCCCTCTGACGATAATGTGTTGAAAGTTGGTTGCTATAAATACAAGCTATCAAGTCACCAGAGTATTAGCATTGCTCTCCTATGACAGACTGCAGCTGCAGCTGACCTCAGCCAGGGTGGTAGACCTCAAACACGTCAAAAGGAATATACATAAATAAATAAAAGTGTGAAAAAACACCTGCAAGTCCTGCATTCACAGTACTGTGTAAATGTAAGACACTCTTAGATCATGCTTAAATGTGCAAAAGTGGTGTTAGTGGAGGAAAAAAATCATCTTCGTCTGATATATTAATGCAGAAGACTGCTGCTACTGATCCACCAGTGTCTATAAAGAGCATTTCTTTGTGACACTGTAGACCTGCTTTTCACTTATATATGTACAGTTTCTTATTGCAGTCAGCAAGTTTAGACAAGTGGTCCCTATTCTGTATGCCTTTGTGCTACTCTTTGAATCGTTAGCGGTTATTTTAAAGGCATCAAAAGCACTGTAGAAAGCTGATAACAATAAATAACCTGTGAAGCTTTATAATGCGCTCCAGCACATAGTCTCTTCTTATAAAGTGTACAGTGCAATACTCATAATTACTTAATGTTATTACTTCAGTTATCACCAGTTTAAAAAAGAACATTTTAAGATCGAATGTTTTTGGGTTTGGGTTTTTTAACAGCGAGTGAACTTGTTGTGTTTTCACAAAAAATGCAATAACATGCTGGTTACTTAGAAGAGTTGAGTTTGAGTTTGAGAGGTTTTTCCCCCCGGGTCCCATACGCTGGAAGCAAGTCGTCATGCATCGAGTTCATTCAACTTGGACCTTGTGTGAAGGTCTCCCTGACGCCTTACATTACAGTAAATCAGTACAGATAATCTTACACTCTGTGCACAGCATTTAATGACGATAACACTGTTACTAAATGCTGCCTTGGGCATTTTTCACTGTGCTAAGCCAGTCTAAAGTGTGTCAGTACATTTGAAAAATGTCACTGCTAAAATTGGAGTGCCCTATCACACCATGACTTTTCTGATGACGTTTAACATTTCCGATTAATATAAATAATAAGGAAATAAAGAGACAGTATAGGGTCATAGTAAAGATGAAAAATTGTGTGTACATATACATATATATATATATATATATATAAAACTAATAATGCACTATCTGTGCACAAAATGTCTTCCTGTCAGGGTTTGTCTTCATTGTGTAGATGATAAGACTTGAAAGGTTTAAGAAAATGGGCTTTTATTTTGAAGCCAGGGCAAAATCATTGTTACGATAGTGAAATTACTGGAAGAAGGCAATAATTATGACCGAAAAAGACTTATGCAACAATTGACAGATCCGATAAGACATACATAGTTTGCACACTTTGTAACAGAGGAACAAAACATGGAGAAACACTTTCACTGTTGTTAGGAGACATACAGAGATTTCACAGCTAAAAGTGTAATGTCAGTTCCCTCTGGTGGACAAACTATGCAAGTGTGCAAGTTCTTGCTACCAATCACTCATTATAGACAACAATAAATATGTGTACAAGCAGACATTTAATTGTTTTATCAGTTCTGATCCATATAGGTTTTGCACGTGATCTGCAGTGGATATTTATAAAGAACTGAAACCCTTGTGGTTACTTTAGCAGTGCAAAAATATCAAACATTACAAGCACAAGAACAAAAGCAGAAAGAATTTGTCAGACTAACTTTTGTCTATTTATGTCTTCTGCCAAATCAACCTCCCACGCTGCAGCCACTGGGTCCAGTGACGGAGCAGCAGCGCCACAGACGAGCTCTCTCAGATCCAAAGGTCTGGGGCTGCTCAACAAGGTGAAAATGTCTGTTGAGCTGCTGATTGCCCTTGCTGCTCTCCTGTCCTGGCTGGTTGTAGGTGTGGTGATGTTTGACTTTGTTGAGTACAAAGCAGTCCCCGGTAAGCCACAAAATCTAAAAATGTATGTCCCCAAGTCTTTTAAGCCATCAGTTATGCAGAATCTGACCAACATGTTTGCTATCATCGTTAGACATCCAGCAGATCATAACGGACCCTGTCCAGGCCGTGAACGACGCCACTGATGAGTTATCCAGTCTGCTCAATAAGTTTCAAGGTAGTGTGGAATTTATCTTGGCACAGTTTTTATTTGTTTAAGCTCTCTAATGCATGACTTGCTGTACTTTTGCAGAATGCGCACCAGATTTAAGTGACCCCATGTCAGCTGCCAGATACGCGGCCGAGGAAATATCAGAAGCAAAAGATGGGTTTGTTCGATATTTGTCAGATGAAGAAGGTATGACCACTTACTCCTACCAACACAAGCAAAAAAACAAAAACAAAGACTGCTTAATAAGTACAGAATAATCTTCTGAAACCACAGGGAACTTCTACCTCAGCTACATTGACCCTGTGGTCATTGGTAGACAAGCTTTCCATTCAACGAATGACTTCATAGGTGGAGCACTGGGTTCCTTCGGGGACACACTGTGTGCTGTTGTGGATACATCACTGGAAACCATAGAAGATATTAAAAAAGGTATGTAATTTATACTTGAATCCCTTTTTCTGACTCAAGACTGTTTTTCTCTTATTTCACATACAATTAATGAATGAATAAATCTGTCTTTTTTAAAATACTTGAACTAAACTTTAACTCCCTCGCTGGTTTGTAACATCAATTAATTAATGCAGAATGTACTTACAAATGCACTTATTTTTCTATTTCTTTTCCATTCAGGAAAAACTGATCTTGGCTATATTGACCCTGTAATGATAGGCAGAGGTGTCTTTAATGCTACTAATGAGTTCATGTGTGGAGTGGCGAGCTACATCCAGGATGTGCTCTGTTCCATACTGGACACTACACTGAATGTAGTGAAAGGTATCTGCGCTCTGTCGTTTAACCCATAACCTCTTAAAAACAACATAAAAGAATATCTATCTAACACAATTTAGAGAGTTTGCTTTGCGTACTACTCCGTATTCATTTCCTGTTTATGTTTCTCAGGAACCGTCGACATTAGCTTCATGGACCCTGTGGTAATAGGAAGAAATATATTCCACGTCACAAATGACACAGTGAGTGGAATATTTGGCTACATCCAGGACATGCTCTGTGCCATCGTAGACATGACACTGGATGCATTCAAAGGTATTCAGTGCCTCCATATTGTCTCATTTGTGATGTTTGTGGCTTAATATTTACAGTACATCTTATATTCTGTATATACTGCTTATGCATTTTACAGACTTTATTAGGAATGTATTTTTAGATCAACAGTAACTCTTTTTAGCTTGTTATGGATGTTGTCCACTAAACAAGAACTTATATAACTTATATAACTTATCTAACTTTGACAATGCATGCTTTTATAAGGAAAATGTTGGCCTTAAACACATTTTTCTAACGTCTGTGTAACTGTCAAGTACATGTATGTTTAATGAAGTACTTTACTGCACCTTTGACCTGAGTGTGTGTTGTCCTCAGGAACCACTGACATTAGCTTCATTGACCCCGTGGTTATTGGCAGAAATGCCTTCAGTGTTACTAATGACTTTGTGAGTGGACTATTTGGCTACATCCAGGGCGTGCTCTGCGCAGTCTTGGATGTCATACTGGACACGCTAAAAGGTACACAGTCTGCCAAGACATTGCCTGATACAATGCACACACTGCAGGTTTCCCAGACTTCACGAGGGATTGTTTTATTTTCTCTGTTGGTTAGATATCCAGCATTCCTTGGGATTTAGCCCCGTGTCAGTTTTTAAGTCAGCAGTAGAAATCACCAAAGAGCAGACAAACCTGCTTGCGAGCTACATCTCCTCAACACTGATTGGTGAACAAGGTCTGTTTTAGCCTACATCATTATCAGAAAATTGGTTACATCTTATCCTTACAGCAGCTAAGCTGATTTTCTAAATAAAGACAAAGCAGTCTGGTGTTTTTCATTTTCAGGAATCATGCCTGAAGTGTCCATTGACCCAATGAAAGTTGTTGAAGATGCTGTGTCAGAGCTCACAGACAAGAAGGATTTGCTCTTAGCTTACATGTCAAGCATGATTGTTGGTGATCAGGGTATGGCTATTAGTATTAGATGTTCAGTACTATTAATTAGGAAATATTAAAAATCCATCTGCTAAATATTTTCTATGTTTCAGGGGAACCTGTCACCACCCCAGGTGTAAATGTGGTAACAGAAAAAGGTTTCTGCTTTAATCCACTCAGAAATATTCTGATTAAAAATTTGATAAAATAAACATTTATGATTGGCAGGTTTTCACAAAACGTCTTTGTTTCTTTTAGATGAAGCTGTACCTTCCCCATCTGATATCAATTTAGTAAGAAGGGAAGGTAATGACAGCATTTCTTCTGTTTTCCATTGCAGTAATACAGAAAAGGAAATATTACATTAAAAAAAGAAGCTAAGTGTCTTTTTCCATGTGTTAATACAGGGGAATTTCTGCCTCCATTTGAAAAAGGTAAGAAAATATCTTCGTTAAAGACATTTAAAATGTGCTTTTAAACATGCGCAATGTGTGTTGCAAGCATCTAGACTGCATAGATTTTTTGATTTTTGATTTTTTTTTTTTTCTTGCATGTTTGTACAGACTTGTGTTTTTCATGGGACATTGTTCAATCTGTTTTCAAGTCTGCCTCATGGTATGCCTCACTGTTCAGTGTAACCCTGAAGATCTATGAAACTGTGTGCCACTGTGTTTGAAAAATACTCAATTTGTACTCATTACATTATAGCATGGACAAACATGCATCATATCTGTTCTTCATTCTGTTATTCTAATTGTTATTAAGCTGCTACATTGTTATTGGATTGCATTGCATTGGATTGGTTTACTTCATTCCTCTCTTTCTTTGTCACACTGACCATTTGTTGTAATATTTTACAGAACTTCGCAGTGATATGTCTTGACTCAGTCATCATGTTTTTCTTTGTAACATTGTGCATGACCATGTGTGTCCTTCAGACTTGCATTCCTTTGTTGCTGTTTCTCGCATTTTTGTGCCACTGACTGGTTGCCTCCTGTTTTTGACCATTTACACTGTTGTCATATGTATATACTTGGATTGTCCGGACTGGATTACATGTGTTTTTGTATACTTTTTACCTGCGCATGTAACTATTAAACACACCACATGTTGCAAAGATAGCATTCACAATACTTTTACACTGTATTTACCATTGTAGCCAGTTTTGATACATCATGTTCCTTTGGTCCTGTGGTTTTATGTAAACTATTTGATCCAGCCAGCTCCTTCATTAAGATCATCACAGCACTGTAGTCTAATTTGATCAAGTACTCTGCTGTAATGAGTGGCTAAACATATAGCTCAGCTGCAGTTTGTACCAGCTACTTCAGGAAGTTACAAGGCATTTAAAAAAAACACTTTAAAAGAAGCTAAATAGAAAAGAAACGAGATATAAAATAACTCCTGTTTCAATTTATGAAGCAATTTTAAAAATCCACTAACTGCAATCTGTGGTGTATATCATGCTGTAATGTTGCTATGATTTTGCACCATTAAAATCACCCTATAAAGAAATGAAGATCACATAAGAGGGATGACAAGGTTCGTAATACAGTTACAGAGATCACGCGTGCTGCCAAAGATGAAGCTGCTCCTGCTGCAGAGATAAAAGAAGACTCTGAGATGGCACCCACTGAAGCAGATGTGACAGAGGAAGATGATGGTATTCACATGATTTTTGTTTCTTTCTTTTTTTTTTAAAGTCACATTCATTAAGTTAAAAACAGACACTAAATTTATTGCTATCACATCACTAGCGAGACACATTGAAGAACCAGAACTGAGACCATCACTGAAGGAGGAGGAGGAAAAGCTTGATGATGACACCAAGGAGGAAGAAGAGGAAAATGGAGAGGGTGATGATGACGAAGTTCAAATAAAGGATAATGCAGAACAATTAATAAAAGAAAAAGAGCATAAAGAGGCGATAGAAGAAGGAGGAGGTGATGGTAGAGGTGAAGACCAAGAAAAGAGAGACACAAAGACAGATGAATTTGCGATAATTGTAAATGATGAAGTGATACAGTTAGCAGAAGGGGTGATAGAAGATGAAGAGGTGCAGGAGACCAAAACCAAAGACATTTTGGTAGAAGATGATGAGGAGAGCAACACTGAAGAAACTATTGTGGATAAACATGAGAAAACAAAAACTGAAGACATTTTTGGCCAGGCCAGAACTGACGATGCTTCAGTAGAACATGAGGAAGAGGAAGAAGCCAAAACTGGAGATGATTTGGTAGAACATGAGGAGGAAGAAGAAGAAGCCAAAACTGAAGATGATTTGGCAAAACATGAGGAGGAAGAAGAAGAGGCCAAAACTGAAGATTATTTGGTAGAGCATGAGGAAGAAGAAGAAGCCAAAACTGAAGATTATTTGGTAGAGCATGAGGAAGAAGAAGAGGCCAAAACTGAAGATGATTTAATAGAGCATGCGAAAGAAGAAGAAGAAGAAGCAAAAACTGAAGATGATTTGGTAGAACATGAGGAGGAAGAAGAAGAAGC